ATAGTGTCTTATGATCTCTAAACACAATAGTTATGTTCACTGAGAGATTATTTCCTATGGCAAGAATTTAAGCATGGTTTCAGAGTATATTTTCATAATGAAAAAGATACAACACATATATCTGTGTGCACTCATAGCTTACAGAAATTAAGTCATGTCTGAGGCTTAGTTTGCAGGTTGAATGTGTGGTTAAACTGTAGCATGCAGAGCATTTTCTGATCACCAGACATCTAACAAGCATTACTTGAAATAGCATGCTTATTGATCAGTTTTTTCATGGCGTTTTTAATCTCTTTGTTTCTCAGTGTATAAATGGCTGGATTCAAAAGAGGTGTAATTGCTGTATAAGACACAGCAAGAAACTTGTCCACCCAAGTGATGCTGACTGGCCACAGATAGATGAAGATGCAGGGTCCGAAGAACAGAACCACCACTGTAATGTGGGAGGTGCAGGTAGAGAGGGCCTTTGAGGCAGCATCTTGAGAACGAAGGAGAACAGTCAATAGGATGTGAGTGTAGGAGATCATCACGAGAATGAAGCAAGTTGTTGCTAAAACACCACTGTCAGCATTTATCAGGATTCCCAAAGTAGCTGTATCCATGCAGGCTAGTTTCAGGACTAAAGGGATGTCACAGAAAAAGCTATCCACCATTCTGGGTCCACAGAAGGGTAGCCCCCAAATCATGATCAGTTGACTCGTGGCATGCACAAACCCAATGATCCATCCCGTCAACACTAACCAGATGCACCTTTGCCTGTCCATGATGCTGGAGTAACGGAGCGGCTTGCAGATGGCCACATAACGGTCATAGGCCATGGTCACAAGAAGCACCATCTCAGCCCCTCCAAAGAAATGCACACCCAGGATCTGGCTCATGCAGCCCCCGAAGGAAATGGTCTTGTTCTCCTGCAGGAGGTCTGTGGTCAGCTTAGGCGTGGTTACTGAGGAGAGGCAGAAGTCAACAAAGGAGAGGTTAGCCAACAGGAAGTACATGGGCGAGTGGAGATGGTGGTCAGCGATGATCAGCAGCACCACAAAGAGATTTCCCACCACAGTCAGCAGGTAGAGTGTAGCAAATGGCACAAAGAGGAAGATCTGTAGCTCCTCGGAGTCACAGAGTCCCTGAAAAATAAACTCAGACACCACCGACTGGTTTGCTTCCGCCATTTCTCACACTGTGTTCTAATGGGACAGAAAGAGAAAGCAACGAACGGAGAAACCAAGGTTAGAAACGAGACCTTAATACTTATGCTGTGATAAGCATGTAATAATAAACTAAATTATTAGTATTTTACTAAACCAGGAATAATATTTCTTGAATTTTGATATGTATAATATTGTACATACACCGAGATATCTAACCATAATAGGACAAAACCCTTAGTTATCAGAAGTATAGATGTGTAAAAATGAATATTTTAATAATAATTTTTGTTATCAGTAGTAAATGTTTCTCATAAGTTTCCTGAGCCTTGAATGTATGTTTTTGTGGTATGATCAAGTATTTATCAGACATAAATCTATTGCTAGGTAAATCTGCTGGCATTGACTGAATTAACGGAAATCTATTACAAACTGGTTATTTACCTGGAGATGGACTGGAGATAGACATTTTATGTTCTGAAGATACTACATATGCTAACTTAACATTGCTAGTATCACACGCTATTTCTCATTGCACTCTGCCTCTTCCCATACAGTATAATTGCCAGATCAGATATACCTTGGCTTGAGCAATGTAGCATGCCTTTTCCTTAACTAACAGGTAGTGGAGATTTCTTTTTAGAGACTAGCTTGAAATATGTGTGTGTGTGTGTGTGAGAGAGAGAGAGAGAGAGAGACAGAGAGATAGAGAGACAGAAACAGAGAAAGACATAGAGAACTATTTTTTGTTCTAATTTATATTATCTCCCTCCTGGGAAGTAATACAAATTCTATATTCACTAAATTATTCTTCCGTATTACTTAAGTTCTTGTCATGGAAGTCTCCATATTTTACAAGGCACAAATCAAATACCCTTTTCCTTCCTCTTTCTTCCTCCTGTCTTTGTTAGTTCTGCTTTTCTTCTTTTTTTTTCTTTTCTTTGTTCACTTTCCCTATTTTTCCTTTACCATTTTAGACTAGAAATTAAAGGCATACAAATGTTGATTACTAAGCAGATATTGCAAGCCAGTTCTGTTTTAAGCATGTGGAAATGATTCTACCCTAACTCCCACATTTTATTGGTATTTTGAAGATACAAACATAAGCTCTTCCCAATTTATACAGTTACTTGGACATTTGATCTAAAGTGGGAAAGCCAGAGTGTAAATTGGGAGATGTAAAGAGTAAAAGTAATATTTCCATAATAAAAGGAATATAATCAGGATCTTGATTTGAGACTACTAAGAAAATTAACAGTACTTGTAAAATAATATACTCTGTTTTATGAAAGGGGAAGCAAAATGAAATTAATATAAATATACAATGATAGCAATGAATTAATTCTTTTAAAGTGCTTTTAATTTTGTTCATTTTCCCCAAAATGAACAATATATGTTTGCACCATTTTTTTCGACATTTTATTCACTCTTAAAAAAAGTGGTAACAGCCCAAATCCAAAAAGAACTGGAAAATATTAGAGTAAGTTACATGCCCTGTAAAAACCATGCTTCCCTCCAGTGGGATCTGCAGTCTCACAAGATTGTGGAAAAATATTGCCTTTTGTGTGTAAAACTGATAAAAGGAGTTCAAAAATGACTTTAATAATGACTCTAATAATGTTGGCAAACATATCCAGTAAACAACATATTCAGAATTCTAAGATCAACACGAAAGTACAAAGGTGCTAAACAAAAAGTATATAATACTCTTAAAGTATTAAATATTATGAAAATGAAATTAGAAAAATCAGAGTTAGTGATTTACTTACAGAAATCTCTGAACCTGGGTTCTTCCTGGTGGTAAGGTTTAGCCTGTGTTTGACACTAACTCTGAGCAGAAGTGTCATTTCTTTTCTGTGGTGACCAGTGTTGGCAACAGTGGATTCACTTGGTGACATATTTACACCGAATTAATGTAGGATGCAGGCTGGACGCATTCCAGTTTTTCTTTCTAAATATGGCCAAGTATTTGTAAAGAGCTTCCTTGGGGATCTTAACTTCA